TAAAACTTACTCGTTATTAGGTTTAACATATTTTTAATTAGTAAGAGTGTAATAATAATATTGACTTAATAAATATAAACATAATATTTTTAGCGGGAATCATAATATTACAAGTAACACAGCAGCAAATATATTCAACATTAAATTTCAAAAATGCATTATACGGTGTTCAGAATGTTACTGTGGACATGTGACATACATTTATTAGTAAGAGTGTCGTGGGCCTGCAGGGTCATTGATATGCATGCAGGAATTCGGTTACTATAGACAGAGTGCAGCTGGTAAGCAATGTGTTGTCTTGTCAAGCATGTTACATGCAAAGTAAGAATCTCGTAGGCCTGCATCATCATTATAGGCATGTAGGAATCTTGTCTGGTAACCAATGCATCATATGGTGTTCAGATTGTTACTGTAGCCATGTGACATAAATTTTCAAGAATCTCGTAGGCTTGCATCGTCATCGTAGGCATGCAGCGAATGAATTCACTGTGAATTGGCATAATGTTGTCTTTTCATGCAGCTCACATGTGACGCGCCTACTCACCCATGCATCAAGCCACTTGCTCTGCATGCACTTCCAAGTCACATGCATCAAGCCACTTGCTCCATGGATTATAAACAGAGGTTCTTTACCCAACAAAATCTGCTCACACTCAATCTCTCAAACTCTCAAACTCTCAAACTCTATTGACCCAGTCTTTCTAAACACAATTTTCACTATGTCTCAAACACTACAGTATATGATTTCCGCACATCTTAACGGTGAAGTTTTCGAATGTGATGAATCTGGTTACAATTTCAGAAACACTGATGTTACGAAATTTTTAATTAACAGAAGGTCTAATTTTATACACCTGAAGTCAAGAATCGAAAAAAAGCTGCAATGCGGTCTAGTTGGCCAAATGGTATACAAAAATCCAGTGTTTTTTGGAAGGCATGTCGAATGCAAATTTTTCCCGTTAAAGGTGCGAGACGATGAAGATGTGCGTAACATGTTCTGCAGTCACGAGTATTTTGGTTTCTTAGATATCGTGTTACATGTTACGTTACAACAACAACAATTGTCTCAACAACTTGATTCTTCTCAAGTTTTTTGTGATTCTAACGAGGAACACGCTGAAGTCAATGTCATTGACGAAGAAGAAGAAGCAGTTGAATTCACTATTGACGAGATGGTGAACAACGAGGAAGAGGGGGTTCCATTCGGCCATGTTTATTGCCCACCTCAGCACATGAAAACTATTGACTTAGGTGGTGATGAACCCTCAACGGATATTTTCTACAACCCCAACTACGCAAGAGGGTGACGTGTTTCGTACCAAAGAAGATTGTGTCTGGGCAATCAAACAATTTCACATGGAGTTGTCAGCCAATTATAGAGTTGATCGGACAAATATGACACGGTATACGATCTATTTTTGTAACGAGGAGTGCCCGTTCCGATTAACAGCGTCTTACAGGAAGAGAAGCGATTATGGGAAGATAAGGTCAATGGGTCCGGCCCACACTTGTATAATCTCAAATCCGATGCAGGACCATCACAAACTCAGCTCTCGATTGATTTGCGATGACACTCTGTCAGTCGTTAGCGGCAACCCGTCTTTGAAGGACGGTACCATAATTGCACATATGGTGCAGAGGTACAATTACACTCCTTCATACTGAAAAGCCTGGATTGCTAGGACTAAAGTGGTTGAAAGGGTGTTTGGAAATTGGGAGGAGTCGTACAAGGAACTTCCAAAATTCCTGGTGGCTCTTAAACACTACTCTCCAGGGACTGTTGTCATATTGGAGACAATGCCTGCATGTACACCAGACGGGATTCGCGTCTGTGGAAATGGAATCTTTCACAGACTCTTTTGGGCGTTTGAACCATGCATCAAAGGGTTTGCATATTGTAAACCTATAATTCAAATTGACGATACTTGGTTATACGGGAAATATAAGGGCACCCTACTCATGGTTGTGGCACAGAACGGAAACAACAAGATCTTTCCAATAGCCTTCGCTATAGTTGAAGGGGAGACTGCTAGGGGTTGGAGTTTTTTTTTTAAAAAAATCTCCGCTTTTACGTGTCTCCCCAACCTAACTTATGTTTGATCTCTGATCGGCACTCAACAATCGAGAGTTCATACAACAACCTTGATAACAGTTGGCAGGATCCTCCCTCGACCCACGTCTATTGCATAAGACATATTGCCTAAAATTTCATGCGGGAAATCAAAGACAAGACGCTATGGAAGAAGGTTGTGAACGCAGGATATGCACTAACAGAACCCACATTCAAATACTACCGTGACGAGATCAGACTAACAAATGTTGATGCATTAAGATGGATTGATAACATTGATTGAGAGAAATGGACACGGGCATACGATAATGGGGTGCTATGGGGCCACATGACAATTAAACTCGTTTAATCAATGAATTCTATTTTCAAGGAATCCAAAACCTACTGATAACTGCCTTGGTTAAGGCAGCATATTTTAGGCTAGACGCACTCTTTGATAGCAGACGTACGAAGTAGGATTCAGTATTACAATTGGGTCAGCTGTACAGTGATACTTCAATGAAATTCATGAAAGACGAAGCTGCCGAGTCGATTGATCACAACGAAGGAAGGCCTAGGGGATGTTACCGTGTTGAACTGGATATGAGTTGGCGTGACTGTGAGAAGTTTCAGGCATTTTGTATGCCTTGCTCTCATGTAATAGCAGCATGCTCGAAGGCGCGCCAGGACTCAGCCAACCTTCTTTCTGCAGTTCACCAAGTGATAAGTCTATGCAATGTCTGCACATGCAGCTTTCAGGTGGTGGAAAAGGAGGACTATTGGCCTCAATACGAAGGCGAAATTGTATAGCATAATGACTTGATGCGCAAAAAGAAAAAGGGTCTCCCTAACAGCACGCACATTCGAACAGAGATGGATACTGTAGACAAGATGGTAAGATTATGTAGTTCGTGTCGGCAACCAGGACACAATCGTACAAAATGTACTAACGTAGGATCAAGCAGCAAATCATAGTTTCATATGTAATTGTGTCCCTTTAAACCAATAGCAAATTTCATTCCATTTAAAGCATACTAAACCGATTACAATTACCAAGCAACATAAATTAAACAAACATAACTTAATATCACAACAACATTATGAAAATAACAACAACATAAAGACATAAAAAAGAACAATGCACCAAGGCGTCTACGATATCACGACCATCAACGCTATCTTCTTTGGTGTTAACATCATCACAAGGACACCAACATCATTTTCCACTTTTCTCCATTCACGAGTAACTCCGTTTCTCCCAGCCTCCTCGATCAACCTCTCAATTTTCCTAATCTTTTCTCCTGGAGCAATATCTCCTTCTAGCCAGCGGTTCAATTCCCTATACAAGTGCTCCAACGTATGCGTATTCCACAGGAGAACCTTTATTGGAGGCTTTAATTTGTTACTGAAAAACAACTAGCGCATTTCTTTTCATTAGATTGAATGTCGAAAAGGATTCCTCCGATGCTGATGACGACGACGAAGAACATTGATTTAGAAATACGGACATTCTAGACTCCTTGGCGACTCAAAATTGTTAACACTTCAGTCTTTTAGTATACAATGTTGTGTAAACATATGTGTTTGCAGTCGTATTTATAGAAAAATAAAATACTACTTGCCCCAAATGATATGTCTTAAATACTCTTACAAAATTTATATACTTTAAAATTCAATAGTTAATTATAAATATTTATTATATTTTAAAATTTAAACCTATTTATATTTATTGTGTTTAAAAATTATATATAAGTCCATTTTTATTTTTTATTTAAATTCATTTCAAATTTAAAATTTTCAACATATTTATAATTTAAAAACAATATTTATTATTTAAATCAGTTTTTATTTTAAATCACTAACATATTTAAAATGTATTTTAAAATTATATTACAATTATATTTATTATTTTAAATTTAATTTAATCTAAACCAAAAAGATTATTTATATTATTAAACTATACTTATTAATTAATAAAATGTATAACAAAATATTTTAATTATACCTATTGAATTTATATAAATATTTTAGATAACTTAAATTTAATTTAATTATTTGAAATAACTTAAATTTAATTTAATTATTTTTTATTATTTAAACTAAATTAAATTTGTAAACCCTATCAGAGAAAAAAAACGTATTTGGTTCAGGTAGCCAAACCAATTGGTGAACCAGCCCATTCCTCTATACACGCAGTCGTCAATCCATACGACGATACCTCAAAATTTATCCTGAGTCGCCAAATCAAAGGCAACACAAGGTTGAAATTTACTTTCATCAATATTTTAAAACTTTAATTTATTTGGTATTTTTTGGGAACAACCTAATTGCATTAAAAAAGAATTCGCATTATGTGATTATAAAAAGAGACTATGCATTCCGTCAAATAATAAAATAAGACTATGCATCAGTGATTAAAAAAAGAGACTATGCATTCCATCAAATAAAATAAGACTATGCAGAAGAGACCAACTCCATACGGCTAATTCACAAAATATTGATTTTTTTCATATGTATTAACGTTGCAATGACCATCACGATAACACTAATTTTCATATGAAGTGTTGGTATGTGCAGTTTGAAAATCCTATAAATAATTCTAATAAAATATTAATCTTTTATCCTTTTTTATTATTATTATTATTATTATTATTATTATTATTATTGTTATTATTGTTACAGAAATCCATTACTTTATTCTATACATTAGTTTCTTTCTTCCCGTTTTTATTAATTATTTACATTAGATCAATACATTTGCTAACCATTGACTTTATGATAGCAAAAAGTATAATCTCTGAAGTAGAACTTGACATCTCAACTTATATTCTATAAATATAAATGTGGAACTGACTTTTAAAGAATACACATCTTTTTACAGAAAGTTTTATCTTCATTTTTTCATACACATCTATTATTTTTCGGTTGCCTTTAAAAAAGAAATAAAAAGATGAAGACTTCCTACATCTCAAATCGATTTCTCATCTTCATCATCTTCACTGCATGCCTATGCATATACTTTGCGATACAAATGATAAAAACTAATGAAAATAAAGATATCCCAATCAGTGAGTACTCCTCCATATTGGGTCCTAAACTTGATAAGCTTCCTAATCAAGATGATGTTATACAGTTATTTCAACTATGGAAGAAAGACCATGGACGAGTATACAGTGACATAAAAGAGATGGCAATGAAATTTGACACTTTTGTTTCAAATTTGAAGTATATCGTAGAGACTAATGCAAAGAGATACTCACCTAATAGTGCTTTTCTTGGTCTCACCAACTTTGCTGATTTGAGCAACAAGGAGTACAAAGAAAGATACATGACCTTAAAAACTGGCGCCATGGATATTTGGAACGATGATGATATTCAGGATGTAACATGTACCGATCCACCGGCAACCTTGGACTGGAGGTCGAATGGAGCTGTCACTTCTGTTAAAGATCAACGCGGTTGTGGTAAGTTTGTTGTGTTTGCACGAAATTTGTGTTTTTATAATTCACATCACAATCTACCCTGACATGCAGAATAATACTTCCTTTTCCTTAGGTGGTTGTTGGGCATTCTCAACTGTTGCCTCTATTGAAGGAATAGTTGCAATAAAGACAGGGACGCTTATTAGCCTTTCAGAGCAAGAACTTCTAGATTGTGTACCAGATGGAGGTTGTGTTGAAGGAGGATATGTGCCCGATGGATTTAAATGGGTAGAAGGAAACCAAGGGGTTGCATCACGAGCTGATTATCCTTATACTGCTAGCAAGGGTGATTGCAGAAACACCACGGTTCTTAATTTCTATCAAATTCAGTATTATATAGTTTCTATGATCACACATTAAAAACTATTAATATTTCATCTCTTATTTTTTTCATGAAATGTAGATTCAAAACAGTGAAAATAGTAATATTGATTCAGATCAGGCCGTGACAAGATCAGACGGGGCACTATTGTGTGCAGTTGCTAACCAGCCTATTAGTATTTCTGTTTATGCAGACTCGCCCACCTTTAAAAATTACAAGGGTGTAAGTGGTCATATAATGTGAATTTCTTAACTTATTCTTTCATGTCCACTACTGACTTTGTTTAAACTCATTTAACACCTAGCTATCTTTAAAAGGGTTTTTGTTACTGCAAAAATCATTGTCAAAAAAGTTTTATGACCATGACAAAACACCGTTACGACCGCAAAAAACCGTTGTGGATGTGAAACCCGGTTACCGTACTGTAATGCACGCAAAAGCTTTAAAATCAAAATATTTAAGCATGATTTTAAATTTTAGAACTCCTAATCTCAATCTTATTCAGATGTAATGAAAAATGTTAACTTTAATTGTCTCCCAAATGAACATTTTAAGCATCTCGTAATCAGAATTCATGCCACAATACCGGCAATATTCATTACAACAACCACAATGATGGTATACACAACTGCAACCGCAACTGCAATTTAAATATTTCTTATAATTTTTTTAAAGTATTTTTACATTTGTTCATGAAGAACGTATTTATCTATTGACAGGGAATATTTAGAGGTGAAGATTGTCCGGCGGATCCTAAGAATGTGACTCACGGCATGGTAATAGTGGGTTATAATTCCTTAGATGGTGAAGATTATTGGATCGTGAAGAACTCACATGGGACAACATGGGGAATAGAGGGTTATATGTGGATCAAAAGAGACTATACTAAACAGTATGGAGTGTGTGGAATCAATGGACATGCTTTTTTTCCTGTAAAAAAGTAAAACGCTGCATTTGAAGAATAAGTAACAGCAAGGTTTATGGTTTTATGAGTGTGTGGTTATTCTTGATGTTGTTTTGAATATGTCAACTCTGTTATTTATGATTGTTATTCTTGATGTAACATAGTATTCATCATAATAAAATAGTTGGTATTTTATAATTAGTAGGCTCTTGCTAATTTACGGTAACTTAGAGAATTCAATTTACTTTGTTCTTAAATTTCTTCTTTTATAATTAGTAGGCTCTTGCTAATTTACGGTAACTTAGAGAATTCAATTTACTTTGTTCTTAAATTTCTTCTTTCTCAAAAAGAAAATATTTGTGTCTTGTTTTTTATAAATATATTATATTTTTAGTTGAAACATTTCTAATGGAAAATGTTAGAGAGATAAGTTTCAACCTCTCTCTAACTTTCATTTTAGATATTTTTATTTTTTAAAATATATTTATATATGACCTATTATCATGGTTGAGTTGGCAACCAAAGAAAAAGTATTCTGGGTACAGCCTTTGAATCTCATCAACCTAATAACTGAGAGAATTTTTTAAAAAAAGACATACCTTTGAATCCAAACAATTGGATTTTATTATCTTTTATTTATTGTTTTATTTGCATTAATGATATATTACTTAGATTGACCAAGCAACCAAGGGCCACTACTACAAGATACATTTTGATAATATAATACTATTACAATTATATTTTTCAGCGTTGTAATACCATAAATTTAATGCGCATGATGCTTTTTTTTTTTTTTTAAATTATTTAATCACGATTGAGATAAACAATATTGGTGATAAGGTAAGTTTTACAATGTTCGAATCCCATCAACTATATTTTTTTCGATCTTTCTTATTACAAAAATCGTGTGTCACTTAAGTTCATCAATAAATAAAAATTTGAAAATTATCTAATCACAATTTTAATATTCAAGCGTTGTAATATGATTTGTATCACCTTTCCTCTTTCCAAAAGAGAGAAACTACTACAATTATGATTGAATTTTTTTTCATTTCTCAAGACGGTCACAAGTCTTTCAAGAATAACAATTAGAAGTAATCATTTCAAACATTAAATTATCATGTGTTTCATCCTCAACCTCTTCTTAGATGCACACTTTCATATAATGAATTTCGACTTCTTCAAACTATTCTTCTTAACTTCCTTGCTATAACAACACGGGATATCCATCTCAGAATGCTAAGAGAAATAACTCAACAAAAGTCACGGTTCTGAACCATACAATAACAACATTACAACACCATCAACAAACAATCGATGAGGTTCGGTCATCTTTCTCGACTGCTGTCAAGGATGCGTTGAAGGTGAGGAAGGCCAAGATGAAGAAGAAGAATAAGAGAAATGTGTCGAGGATGACTTTTACTACGACTCAGATGACAATAGCGGGGAGCGTGTCATAGATTAAGAAGATTCTTGTATTGCAAGAGAATATTGTTCCAATTTTGACAAAATTATGTAATGAAAAAATTATGTTTTATGTACTCTTTCCTTGTGGGCCTCTTAATGAATTTTTTTTTTTTTATATACTCCTTCCTCTTTAAGAAAAAAATAGTACATGACCAACAAAAATAATAACAATTACAACATTAAATAACTCTCTCACCATTAGCTCATAAATAAATAAAATTTTGAAAGTTATTTAACCACGATTTTACTATACAACCGTTCTAAAATTTTAAAATTGCATCATGGTTTTTATTTGCCAACCATGACGAAAAGTGATATTTTTTAGTATATAAGGGAAACTATCTATCGTTCAGTATATAACAGTCTTGTCTCTCAACAGAAAATCCTAACATATTTCACTCTTCTCTCTCATAACATATCCATAACATCCATGTCACTCATTAAACATACTTCAACCTTCAGATTCGTCTTCACCAATTGCTACCTTGACTTTTGAGGTTCGTTTATTAAACTTATGCTTCGATTTCGTTTACGTTTTTTGTTAAAAATTGGTTCTTATTTTTTTAATCGGTGAATGTTCCCATTCACCTATGCGGAAAACCCATTTAACATTGGTTGGAAAGTACATAAAATCATGCAGATCAAGGTGTTGTTATGTAGAGCATTATCGTAAATACGCTACTTATAATCCCGATCCAGGTGTAACACCCCATTTCTATACCCCCAATTAATCAATTAAAATCATATAAGAAATTAATAAAAGTTTCATCAGAGTATAAATTAAAACATGGAATAAAAGAGGCGCATCACATTATCATCGAAACGAAACATAAATAATACCTGCTCATAAAGATATGTAACAAAAGGGGTAAATCTCAACTAAAAACGAAGCATAGCGCTTAAAACCCATATATCAACATTTAGAATAAAGCGGAAACATCTAAACATTGAAATCACTTCATTAACATAAGCATCATATACGTCATTCAGATTAATTCAATTCATCAGTTGAGTTTACAAAACATTCAGCAGCAGATACATACACAGATGTATCACAAAAGAATTAAAACAATTCCTAACTACCCAGTGTTACATATAAGAGCCATCTGACCAAAAGAAATGAAGACTCGCTTCACAAAAGACCTCCAGCATCCTACTCGGCAATACCTCATAGAGCATTATAAAACAGCAGAAGGGTGAGAAACATTATCATAACAAACAATACATAAAATTATATATATCATAAAACACAATTATAACATACACGCAATTCACATTTCTCACCATAACTTGTTACAATACATCACAATGTACACGTACATAATCAATCACATTCACCAATTCATGCTTCACAATTCATAGCATTTCCCTTAAACATTTACAATTACGTTTATTTCACCAAAACATCATATAAAGATGATAATGCAACTCATAGAGACCGACTCACGACTCTATGCAGATGCAAATGCAGTACCGACTCGTTCAGCAGGTTCAATTGAAGAACCAAAATGGAACCATCGTTCATTACAGAAGTAACTCCCCGTCGGGCCTACGATGTTCACCCATCGCTCACACCCCACATGGGAACACGATGTTTCAGGATTGCTCACACCCCACACGGGCACACAATCCGGTTGCTCACACCCCACAAGGGCACACAACTGTTCTGTAGATTCTCCACGGAATCAAAAATAAACCATCGCTCACACACCACAAGAGCACACGAGGTTTCTGCAGATCCTACGCGGGATCAGATACACAAGAATGCAATCATGATGCTACACATGCAACACGACTCAAATACACTCTTAGAATCCACACATATTTACAAACATATTCATGCATTCTTCATATTATACAAGTATATACAAAAATACGCATCCTCATTAATATCACCATGCATTCCCATTTAATCCAAACAAATGCACGAAATTGCCAAACGGCAACATCACACAATCTAGGATTCACGCCATACGGCTACCTACAACACAATATAACTCGGCATGATCGATGCCTCGAGCAAGGAAATAATCAAAGTTAAGTCGGAAATCCGACCCCGGATGGAAACATTAACGAAAACACAACCTGCCACGTTCGCTACCCTGCTCGCTTAGCGAGCTCCTAGCGACTATTCGCTACTTCTTCGCCTAGCGAACAAGCTCGCGAAGGCAAACAGAAGCCTCTAACTTCGGTCGCTACCTCGCTCGCTCAGCGAACCCCTAGCGAACCTTCGCTACCCCCATTCGCTACCAGCGAACACCACAACATGCATTATGTCCAAGTCTGGGACCGTTCGCTACCTATTCGCTACTGCTCGCTTAGCGAACGTTCGCGACTAGCTCGCCTAGCGAACATGCTAGCGAGTGTCTGCGAACTCATAATTTCCCCATTGTTCTTCCACTCCAAAACTCTTGGATTCACCCGATTAATTCCCAACTCATTCCAGTACTTAGCCTAACATCACCCCACATAAATGCTACTACTTAATCTCACTTTCACCGACAAAAACTCGGGTTCTATCGATTAAATCTGTATTATGCCTGATCGGGAAAATAGCAAGTGTACTATTTTTAAAGATTGTAGTAATAAGGGAAAAGTCCCAAGTATCGATCTCGCGGACTGCGTAGTAATTAACGGGATTTTTAGGATGCAAAGGAACAAAAGATCTAGTGGTTTGTTTGGTAGCAGAGTAATATAACAAGTAAGTAAAGACTTATAAATCAATCTGAGAACAGTGTTAGGGGAGTGGATGTGATGCGAGTAAAGACCATGTATGATTATCCTGCTAGACTAGTTATTAACCTTAATTCATCAGTTGGCCAATTTAGTTTTTCTTAATTCCTTAATGAAAACCCTTTGATGAGTTTCATGTACACTAATTCCTCAGTGTCCATGAAAAGCATCAAGCAATAGTTCCGACCATAAAATTCGTGATACGGGATATCCTCATTCCTAAGCAATATCGACCGTGAGCCTATTTTGCAAAAGTGTAAGGTTGATTTTCCAGACTAAAACCTAAGCATAATTCGAATTCTACTTTCCAATATGAATACGCATTAAGATTGATGCAAAATAAAATATATAAGGTGAATAACATAGTTCTCATAGAATAATCAAACAAAAGTCATTACATCGCAACTTAGGACCACCCCCTAACAACTTCGGGTTTAGCTGCTCATGTTCTTTGTAAACATAAATGCAATTAGAAATGAAAAGGAGAAGATCATTACAATTCGAGTTGGATCCCTTGGATCATCAATTGCTTCCGCTTTTGATCGATCCTTTGTTCTCCAGAAGAACTCTCTCCTCAGTTGTCAATCCTAATATCAGTTCAAAAGTGTGCCCTATTTTCTAAAAAGTGGCTCTTATATCTAAATTCAAATTACATCGCGAAATGTCTCAAATGCCCTTCGAAATAGGTCTGACAGCAAAAAATCAGAAAATATAACAATTTCACTCTCAGTGGCCCTGACACGGGCCGTGTTGTGCAACACGGGTGGCCGTGTCAGGCTGCTGACTCCTTCAGGGCACGTTTTCTTCTACAAGGGCTGCAACACGGGCCGTGTTGTGCAA